TTGCTCTTTGGTAGAAAGATGTCAGGTACTACACTTGGTCAACACAGTATAAAATTGTATGTTTAGGTGACTAAAGAATAATTCTTTTTTTTTTTTTTTCCTGTATTTAGGGAAGGGTCTCATTACTAGATCACACTCAAAGTGATTCTCATGTTTACAGCCTCCCAAGTGCTGGGATTACAGGTGCATGCCTCAAGGCCCAGTCTCAATCACTGTCTCAGCAAGCCCCAGGGGCGGGGCTGGCAGGGCAGGCTTCGGATCAAACCCCCAGCCCCTGCACCTGCTTGCCGGTGCTTTAATCTGCTGCGCTATTTGGCCACCCCTTTTAATTCTTAGAGTCAAAACTTTCTATATCTATTATTGGACTAACAGGTAAGAAGTTCTCTGTTTACTATTTCTGTTTTAAGGCTGAACTGAGGGCTGATGAAATAGCTCAGTGGACTAAGCACCTGCTTAAGCAAGCGCAGGGACCAGGGTTCAATCCTCAGCACAACGTGCCAGGCTAGCCCTGCCCCTGAGGTGTGCTGAACCAGCTTCTGAGACCAGGTGTGGTAGTACATGCCCGTAATCCCAGTGCTGGCAAAGCTGGAAATAGGAGGATCACTACAAGTCTGAGACCCTGTACCAAATATAAATAAATAAATGGCTGAACTGCCAGGTTTGGTAGTGCATGTCTGTAAACCTAATATTCTGGAGGCTTAGGCAGGATTACTGCAAGATAGAAGGCAGCTCAAGCTATATAGTGAATTCAAAGACAGCCTCAACTTTATCTCAAGCCAGACTTTATCTCAAAAAGACAGAATGACCAAAAAAGACCAAAAAGACAAAATGACAAAAAAAAGAAAAAAGGCTGGACTTCACAGATTGTGCTAATGTAATATTGTAACCTACATGGAAAAACAGATCAAAGGATAGATTTGTTTTTCCTTTGGAGACAAGTTAAAATCCTTCAGTCCTCTAGCATAAACTTAACATCTCAATCTCTCCTCAGTCCAGATGAACAGACAGAATATGTACATGCTGGTACCAGGAGGTCTAACCATAGCTTCATTTCCACAGGGAAAACAAGGAGGGTGAAGGATCTAGGCAGGTGCTGAAGCCACTGAACTATCTCCCCTGGTGAAGGATCTAGAAAGGAATGAAGCAAGCTTGGACAGGTCTATTATCTCACTGTCTTTTCCCCTGCAACACATGTGTACGTGGAGAAATGGTGATGTGGCTGCTTTGAGTACATTCTCCTGACCAAAATAAGTGGCTTCCTTTGCTTTGGTTGGAGGCAAGCAAATTAACCTAAGCATATGAATCTCATTTTATGTAAATAAAAAATGACAAGTCCCTTTGGTCTAAAATTGCCTAAGTACACAGGTGTGAAAGATTAGCTATGGGGAAAGGAAAGAAAACCAGATCAAAGATATAAAGCCAAGTGTAGTGCCACACACCTGTAATAATCCCAGCACCTAGAAGAAGGCTGGGACAGGAGGATTGTCATGAGTTCGAGACCAGCTTGGGCAACATAGTGGATTTGAGGCTAGCCTGAACTACATATTGAGACCCTGTTTCAAAAAATAAAAAATAGGCTTTTTTTTTAAATTTTTTTTTTTTTACATTTATTTATTGTGTGTGTCTCTCTGTGTGTATGTGTGTGTGTGTGTGTGTGTGTGTGTGTGTGTGGGGCCAGCTCAGCCCACCAGGGGGCGTGGCTGGCTGGCATGTGGTG